TTTGGACCTTTAAGAATTGAGTTTCTTGTTAATATTTCTGAAAGCCATGTTGCTAAGATCTTTGTTACACATTTACGAAAAGTTTCTAGTAATGCAATTGGTCTAAGGGTGTTTAAGATAAAGTCCCACTCCGTCAACTTTGGGATTGGGAAAATTTGGCTGTGCTTCCATTTACTTGATATTTTTCCAGTTTTAAGACAGATTGCGCCAAATTTTCTAAAAAAATCTTGTGTAAACCCATTTGCTTGTTTGATAAGCATGTATCCAATCTCTGTTATGCCTAGTGCGGTATTGTTTTTGAGCTCTTTAAGCATCTTGTACCATTCTTCTTCTGAGATATCTTCTTCTAAATTCATATATCAGAGAGCATTAATTTTTGCTTGTAGTTTGTAGATTTTCTTCCACTTAGGGGTTAGAAAAATCATATTTGGTTTGCTTTTGTTGTACTGGTTTTGAAAGAAAGCATAAGTTTTTGATAGGACATCTTTAGAGTTTGTGTGTAATTGGAACTCATTTTCAACCTCCTCTAAAATTCTATCTATTTTAGCTTTTGAGAAGGGTTTGTCCAGTATACTTTTAAGCATTTTACCCTGCTTATTTTAGATCATAAGACAATACCGATCTGTAAATTCCTTGATTCTTTCATTTTTTTGTTTTTTTATTTCTGCTACCTATTTTTTGTTGAAGATATATAGCCAACCCTTGATGTCCTGCACTCATTCTTCTAACGTTATAGTTTTATCAAGGACTATGTTGAAACCATGTCTGGTGCTAATCTTGTATAGAAGAGATTTTATTTCTTGTATTCTTTTTTCAGTTATTATGGACTTCACTATTTGATCTTCATTTCCTCTTGCTAGTCTTTTAATTTCTTGACATATTTTGCTTATATTAACTGTATCTTCGTGTAAAGGCGACCTTGTTTGTTTTTTTTTTGATGAATGTTTATTATTTGATGAAAGGCCTATTTTTTTAAAAAAAATATTTTGTTTAGCTGCATATAAAATCTCTGTTTCAATCGAAGACCAGATATAGTCTAAGTCTTGTTGTGATATTTCATTTGTGTTTTTCTCCAGTATATTTAACAAGGCTGTACATTTTTTGAGAAAAGATTGTAGTGAAGTTCTGTAGTCTTTCCAATTTTCAGGTGAGGCTTTATCATAAAGAAACTTTATGTGAGAGCTTTTTTCTTTATTGATACTCTGGGTTTGATCTAACATCATGTTATTGTATTTTAAGTTTACTAGTATTGTATTGTGATCGCTTTCTGTAATTAGATCTATATCCCATATTTCTGCCTTATATAATGATTTTGCTAAGCCTCCTGAGATCCAGATCTGATCGATACGTGTGGCTGTACTACCGTTAGACCATGTATAAGCTTGTGTGACAGGATTTAAGTGTCGGAAAGAATCTATGAAATTCTGATTGATCATCCAAATATGCAATAGGAGATTTTTGTGTACACATGTACTACTGTGACTCTGCTTGTCGAGTTCTGGTGTTGTTATATGATTAAAATCTCCCATGATTATTATTTCTGAGTTTCTAGGCCTGTTAATATATGCATTTATGACATGTTGTTAGATTCTTTTAATTTGCTTTTTATCATTAGGTGGAAGATATACAACAAGAATATTAATTTTTAAGTGGTCTATGATTAGAAACAATTCTAGTAAGTATTCGTTATGTTTTCTAAGACCTGCTAAACTTTTTTGAATTTTTTCACTAATTAAAACTCCTATTCCAGAGCCTTTTTTCTTATCAACATTTGCATTTGACCAATAGCCTTTGAATGAACTCTCTGGGGGGGAGTATATATTGGCCTTCTTTTTCTGCTACATTTGTTTCTGTAATTCCTAAAACATCTATATCTTTCTTTTTAGCCCAGTCTATTAAATGTAAAAGTTTTTAATTGTTCGATTTAAAACCATAACATGCTAAATTTAGATTGAAATCTAGGGCATTATAGGTTATCTTCAGTAGAGTTTGCCCTGCCAAGCCAATTTGCTCGTTTGTTTCTGTTGATACAACTGGTGCGCCTTTAGAAACGGTTGGGAACTGCAGCCCCTTGTTTTTTTTTTATTTTCTGTAATCTGTTTAAGATTTGCTCTAGAATACTGTTATATATATCGGATGCAGATGTAAAAATTTGTCTTGGATTGCTAGAGCTACTATTTCTTAGCTTGGTCTTTTCATGTATATTTTCATCTCGAGCTAGTCTGAAATCTTGAGATATTTGTTTTTCACCATTTTCTTTTATATTGCCTAATTTAACTCTATTTGATCCAGTTGTATATTCATTTTCAATATTTCTAAGAGGCTTGCGAGTATTGCTTCGGGATCTGAGATTACTATTATCTCTACTGTTTTTCTTATTTTTAGAAGAAGAAGTATAAATAGAGTTTCTGGTTCTACTGCTTGATTTGAGAGATGTACGTTTGGCTTGATTTTTTTTCCTTGATGTTTCATTTTCATTCAATGATTCTTTGCCTTTGTTCGTATTTTTTACTTCTTTCTTGTAATAGAATGTATTGAGGACATACTTTCTAGTTAGGTCTTCTAAAGTTAGATACCATTCAAGCTTAGTATTAAAGTAATAGATATTGTATCTTTGGGCTAATACGAGATCTTCTTTCGATTTAAAATAAAGGTAAGCTCTTTTTCTTGGATTACCATTCCGATTTTTTAATATGTGTACTGCTTGAACCTTGAATTTTTGAGTTGGTGTAAAAGAAGACTATCGTATACAGTTGTCGGTATGTTTGAAATTATACATTTATGGTTATTTCTTTCTTCTAATTCGATGATGTCGAACTTTCCAGGTGTTGTGTGATATGTTTTTCCTTGATCTAAATATACTGACCAACTTTTTTCTAATAACTTTGTTCTTTGTTCAGAGCATGTCAAGATTTTAATATACACTGCCTTAGTTCTGAAGTTTTGTTGCCATGCGAGAACAAAAGCTGTGCCAAAGAAACTAAGATATGTTTTGATAGTTGATACACTGGTCTCCTTGGGTAAATCCCAGATTGTAAAAAAATAAACCAGGTTTTGTGGTTGTTTGTAATAATATATCTTGCTTTTTAGAGCCCAAACCGAATTAAATATATTCTCGTATTGTTTGAATTTTTTAGTACTTGCATGTGTTGTTGCTTTTATATTTGTTTGAGATTTTTCTCTAATAAGTTCATTTAGACCATAGTCAAGTGTTCCACATTCTTTTTGAACTAAAATATCTTTAACTAGTTCCAAACTATTCTCTGTAATATACGGGTTTAAATCCTGTACTGTGAAGTTGCATTTGTGTGGGTTTTCTTGAAATTCTATTTCTATATTATTTAAATTAATAGATATTGCAACAACTTGGACCGTTGGAGTTACTTCCATAGGGCATGATTCAATTTTGATTTTAATTTTGTTCTCATCAATTTGATCTATATTTTGCTTCTTGCAACAATCTGATAGTTTTTCCTCTTCTAAAGTCACGTTGTTGTTTTTTTTCCCAAAACTTTTAGTAGAATACGAAGGTAAGATTTCTATAAAAATTGGCTAAGATTTAATTTTAATGCTACTGTTTTGCAAATCGGCATTATCTATGTTATCAACCTGCATTTTGGTGTTATTAGTGATACCTATAAGAATCTTTTCCTCTTCAGTTATGTTTTGGTCTCTAACTATCTTGTACTAAACATAGTCATAAAAATATAAAACGTTGTAGACAATTGCAATAAGATATATTTCATTAGTTTCTAAATATTCTGCAACTTTTCTGTCTTTTTCTAAAATAAATAAATTTTGCTCTTTTTGTATTTCTACTCTTTTTAATTCCGACTTAGTAAAGAAGTTTTTGTAATCAATAAGTTCTAGCATTTTGCACGTGTTGTTTGTTTAACTGTGTTTGGATTTTACATGTACTGTTTGTTGTTTGTAAATACACATGGTTGTTTGTTTTGTTGGTTTTTTGTCTACTAAATTGATTTGTTTGTTTATACTCCTAAAATAGACGTTTGTTTATACTCCTAAAATGGACGTGTTTGTTTGTTTTGTTCGAATGCGATCTGCTATACAGGGGTAGTAGCAATTCCCCAAAATTTCTAAAAAATTTAAAATTTTTTGTTGAAAGTATAAAATTTTCTCAGTAGTGAATTTTGAAGGGTGTAGTGTGCAAAGTTGTTCTAAGAAACTCCAGTTCTTTTTTTGTGTTCTGTCTTTTTGCTTAAGGCAAGTTCTATTGTTGTCTTAATGAAATTGTGACCGAGCCTTGGAAGTTCTTTAGCTCCAAATTTGGTTTTAGTGATCGTCAGAAAGAGTTTTTGATTTTTTTTCGTCTGTCATAATTTTGTAAAACTTTAAATTAATGAATTTAATAATAAATTAATCTAATTATTTATTCGTTTGTATAGACTGTTACTTTTACTAAATTGCAATCTCAAAGTCGTTTATTTTTCCAACTTCTTTTTCCCACATTATTTTAACTCAAAATGCAAACAAACGTCCAACATTGGCGCAAGGAATAATGTTCTTTTTACACCATTTTGTTAAACAGGATATTCTAGAAGAGAAAGAAATAGTTGAGTGGGGATGTGATGTCATTAAAGGATACAGAGAAGCTTAAGTGCTGAAAAGATTTTGTAAAGAAGTTACTTTTTCTATACATTATCTAAACAGTTAAATACATGAATTTCTTTAATATATTAACTTATTTATGATTCTTGTATATTTGATTAATAATTTACATATATATAAAATATATTAGGGTAACTAGCACCATTCAAATCTTCTATGGTATACGAAATATAATACATAAGAAAAAAAATTATAAAAAATAAAATAAAAAAATATCTTGTAACGTGAACAAATTAATAATAAATAGAAGTTACTTGTTATTATAAATACATTATAAAATTAGTTAATAAAAGGATTCAAAATAAAAAACTAATTTAGTACGATTTGATACATCTATACATGCTAAATATAGATCGACTGAAAAAAAAAAATTAACCAATCCTCTCAACAAATGCCGGGTCTACCCACCCTCTATCTCCAGTATCTGCATTGACCGCAAACCACCAATCCCCACTCTCATCGATAAATATAATTTTGAGCAAAGCTCCTGGCTTAAAGTTTAATTCATTTTTTTCTTTAGAATTATTTGTATGAATAGTTTGACATAAAAATAGGGTTTCGTCATCCTCCTCGCCGGTTAAGGAATCATGAAATACATCATCATCGTCATCCTCTTCTAGTGATCGATGATCTATAACTCCATCAGTAGCATATTTTTTGTGAGCACTATATCGCTGTTGCGATCTTTTTTTAATTTCTTGGAAATTAAAACCATCGTCTAAAAAGTTTTTTGATCGATTCTCATAATCTGAATCATCAAGTCCAAAGGAGTTTTGTATTCTGTTATTTAATGAATTATCCGAATACCATGATGACGACCGTTCTAAAAAATCAATTTCTAGTTAATTATCTTCTAAATGGTATCATATCACTTTGACTGTTACCTGTTCGATTTTGTGAATCATCTGCTTGTTTTGATGAACCTGAAGATCCAAGCGATTCTGAAAAACTATATCTTTGACCATTTCTGTGTCTGCCAGTACCTTCAGTAAAATCTGAAAATGTTAAAGAATGAAGATGACATATAAATGTTAAATATTGCAATAATTGCCATGGTCATTATCCGATAAATAGACACGATTAGACATACCTTGCTTATTATTCAAAATAACCAATTCACTTAATCGGTCTTCCATTCCCAATGAGCCATGGAAATAATTCGTATATTCTGTAGTTACATCTATATCTCTCAAAACCAATTCTCTGTCATCTGATATTTCCTGTAGAGCCTCTACGTCTATATATTTACAAAAATATTGTCGGAAATCCATATCCATCTGACGGTAAAATTTAGCTTGAATTTTAACTAATTCTTGCACAATTATATCAAAATATTCTGTTATGTAAACAAAAAACAAGGGCAATTCTTCATGCAGTTGATCTGAAATTGACTTAAAAGCGTCCGCAGATTGTTGGAGTGCTTTGTCGGGCTGAATATAAATATTTCCAGTTATTAAAAGAATATAAGTTTTTCATTGCATATTAAAAAAAAATAAATATGCTAATTACCGTTGCACCTCTAGCTTTAATCGAATTGGCTCGGTCATAATCTAAAATCTTTCGTTCTCGTTTCTTCATTACAGCTGCAGGTGCTTTAAAGTGATCTAAAATCTTATCAATTTGAGGATATATTATTTTCTTGATTGTGTCTTCCTATCATTGTTTATACATTAGTCAATATATTTATAAAACACTTATGCATTTGCAAACATTACTATATACCATTTCCTTTCCACAAGATAATGAAAAGCTTTTGATAGCTTTTCCATATTCAATAATTCTCACACAATCATCCGAATTTTTATTAGCAGCAACCCCTAATATATAAAATTCTTCGATAGCAGCCGCTAAGCGTTGCTGGTCTTCAAAAAACACTGCAATAAAATAACACTAGGTAAATAGAAACTATTTAAGTCCGAAGCAAACGGACATTTCGGGTTGACCAATCAAAATACGTAATTTGCAGACACACACGATTACACAGACTATGCCTCAACCGTAATGTCCTTCGGACAATAAATATATGCAATGTAAATACGTGTCACTCCAATACTCACTTTTAACATTCTTTACCCAATTTCTCACATCCTTAGCTAATTGAATTCCTTTTTGCTCTAAAGTTTTAAACTTGGCCACATAGGCTTTATAAAGTTCATCTTCTGTAGGTTTTGCAATACCAGTAGCATGCTTTATCTTTTAGTTTTTATTATTCAAATATTAGTATTTTTTGAATCAAATATTAAAACAATAGAACAATCACCTACCATTTGACCTCTTCTTGTAAATGATTTCGTAATACCATGCCTAAAGCAACACATATATTACATTATAACCCCGAAAAAAAAAAAGAACTGACATACATATTCATAAAGATCCATAAATACTCACAAGACCTATTTAACAATTAGACATATTACAGAGAAATTTTTAATGAAAATATTCACACACTTTCAATTAATAATGTAATACACAAAGACTCACATCTGCATCTGACTTTTTTTTACTCCCTACAATTTTTTCAACTATATCTTTGCGCCTCTTTATTTCATTAATACGTTCTGCAACTTTTGTAATTTCTGAAAAAGAAAATTGAAGATGCTCATAATCTGGGTGCGAAGGCTTTGTGAGTGATAAAATTTGCTAAAAACATATGTGATATCATAAATAATAAATTAGCTAATATATGCGAAGCATAATATTTAAATATAATTATTGTATTAGAAATTTTTCTTACTTGCAATAAGAGTGGATATTTCAATACTCGTTGCACAGGCTTGATTAAAAGACTAGCAATATCCCAACTTCTCGTTCGACCTTCACATTGGCTTTTACATTTCTTATAAATATTATTCAAAAGATTAATCATTAAATGCTATCTGTAAAACAGTGACAAAAGAAATTTATATAAAAACCTGTAAAAATCCTTGAACTTGATCATCATCGTCGAATTCTTGAAGTTTCTGAACAGCTGTTTCATGTCGTTTGCAATATTCTCCATAAATTGCTTCTATCCTGCTGTCCTCACCCTGAGACTTTCTCATCTGTTTAAAATAAATACAAAGATCAAAATCCTGATGACAAAAGTGGTAAGCAATATTCTTACCATCTGTGCAAATGCCTCTCCGATAGCTGTATTATCATTTTCATGTTCATAATGTTTATCAGGGTCATCATCTGTCTCTCCAATTCCACTAGCTACAAGCAATAAATTTAAAAAATGCTCCGAAAAGTCTATTATTTCCGGGATATTACTAAATATTGTTTTACAGTCATATGGATTGAAAATAGGAATTTGTTGTGCTTGTATATAATACACCTTATAGGAAAAATTATTTAGAAGAAATATTAAGGGTGGAATTGAAGTTTATTTTTATTTAAAGTTACCTCTTCCAAAAGTACCATATCTTGAAAGAAAATCCTTTCAGTCTCTACTAACTCTTTTATAACATTCCACAACTTTTTGCGCCTTTTTAAGTCAATTGAATATTCATCCTCTTCAACAAGCGTTGTTTCACTTGAAAAACTTGTCAATGATATTTCACTCTTAAATCCACTATTTATATCTGAAAGAGGGGACGTAACCTTTATAGATGGAGACTGTGAAGGAGATTGCGTTGGTATCGGAGGTAAAGCTTTTGAAGTCTCCAGATGTAATTCTTTGGGCCGTACTAAAATCGGGGATGACCCTGAAAGTAAATTCGCAATGCTAGCTCTCTTTGCTTCAAAATCATTTGATGGTATAATAGAATTTCTTTTTGAAGATTGGGCACTATGTGAATTATTTCTTCCAAGACTTTTATTAATTGATGAATTTGAAGTCGTTTGCTGTGATATAATATGTGAATCATTTAAACTATTTCCCTCATTCATCTCTAATACCTGATTAATATATGGTATATCAACCCAATCAAGAACGACACTATCCTCACTACTTGCGAATGAGTCTGATTCTTTAATATTGACACTATTTGTATGTTTGGATGAGCTAGTAGGTGTACTTACTCTTTCATTAGGACGATTGCTGACAAATTTTTTTGTTTGAATAGGAATCTTTTAGTCACCGAAATAAAATTAGTTTGAAATAATCATAAATAAATAAGATTTATTAAAAGTATTCAACCCGTAAACTCACCACATTATCACCATCGTCAGCTTGTTGAAATTTCGCCTTGATATCGTCAAATATTAACGAAGATTCATCAATATTCGCCTTTTTATCACTCGCAACATTGTCACGTGAAACAGATTTTTTTATGTAAGTTTTCTTAACCATAGGAACAGGCAATTTTGGTGATAAAGGAAGCGATGGGGCAACATGGGATTTGATAATTGTTTGATCTGCTGTTATGTTTGGATCTTCAAAAACGCTTGACAGCCTATTAATATTCGGTCCACGAACCACTGTTGTGTTGGAATTCGATTGTTTAGGAGGAGTGGATGATGAATTTGGCTCACTATCAATTCTATTTGAAGTTGTTGCAGAAAGTTTAGGAGGCTTTGGTTTGAGTGTAGGTGGAGTTTTAGTTTTAGCCTTCTGTGTTTTCGGTACTCGAGCGGCACCATTTTTGCGAGTACTTGGATCCATAACCTTTTTATATCCCCACAAACACGATAAAAAAAAATTATGCTAAGTCTGATAAATATTGTTTAATTAATATCAATCCAAATTAAAATGCAAACTTGTGTAACAGTTGCTTTTTTCCGGATCAGTCCGCATAACGAAAAACTCACGGAACACGTAATTAGGATCGGGTTCATTTTTTAGGACCCTACCATTATAAATATATTTTTTCCCGAGGGTTAAAGAGCTAGTCTATCCTCGAAAGAAACCTTTCGTAATTAATAATTACTGTACAAAAAGGTCAATAAATCTATTCTATAATCAAATTTATTTTATTCTTACATTTGGGAGAAACGAATAAATCTATAATTGACACTACCTTTTATCTGGCCGTCTACAAGTCCAAAGCTTTAAATTTCATAAATTTTTCAGATCTGTTAAAAGAATAAGCTCAGTTTTAAAGAATTTGAGGCTTAAAAGCATTGGGAGTTAAAATTTAACTTGAACCTTATTGTGATTGATCTCGCGCAGCCGCGTCAACGTTAACGGTTCTACAAATTGGTTTGAAAACAGCGATAGGCCAGTTTTTTTTTTTTAGCTTGCCGATCAAACACAATATAAAAATATGCATTACACATTTATTACTTTCTACTACGTATGACAATAATAGTGTTATGTTACATCCTTTACTGTTGACTAAGTTAGCATTATCCCGAAGCCAAATTGAATTTAACATGAACATCTCAAAGACAAAGGATGAATATATAGAGCCACCACGTAAGAAAAAAAAAATTAAAGGGAAGACTGTTTCTAGGTATATTAACATGATTATCATATTCTAAATTGACTTATGATGTTGATATATATATTATGTATACATTCGACAGCTCATTCACAGTTATTAGTTTGAACGACCCAAAGTATAATGAACCAAGACCAGTTACTAGAGGTGTTGTAGAATTTAGGGATAAACACTTTTATGGCAAAAGATTACCAAGAAAAAATAGTAAGTTTGCATCGTTTTATATATTACCGATTAAAATTATGTATAACCTTTAATTATCCTGTAGCCATCTTGAATGCTAGTCAGGGAAGTTTTGGAAACGTTCCTGCAATCAAGTTTAAACGAAAATAATAGCAACTTACAATTCATGAATGGTACAAAATATTGCTAAGCTAAATCCAGAAGTAATTTCTGAATTTATCTCTTTTTATAAGAAAAAGAAAATTATAAAATTCATATATATATATATATATATTATTTATATCATAAATTTTTGCTAGTAAATTCAGGAGGTAGAAATTTTTGAAGGTGCCGAACATTTTTTAGAGAACCAAGTTTTAATTGCAGTTTCTGAGATATAGTTGTTATACCCGGTGTATTTTAGTAAACCAGATTATACAGTAGCTCCTTGTACACTTACTAAGAGACCCGAACCTAATACGAAGACCCGAATGTACTTTGCTGTAACAGCTCCATGTCACCATTGTAAAGAAGTTATAAATAATAAGCAGTCTAGAAATTTTAAAAAACACATTTTAAGCATCACTATACGGAACGAGGCACTTTTATTTTTTACAAAAAAAATTTTAAGCAGAATTAGCCAACTTAACATCAAATAGTATTTAAGAACATTTTTCTTCACACAACACATTAATTGTACGAGAAATTTCAGTAACAGTTTCCATTATTTTCTTTTTTTGTTTTTCTGTCGGCACCCGCCTAATCCATCGATGCCAACGGTCAGGATGAAACCGTATCTGTTCCTGACGTAATATAGATCTGATTTCAGAATTATCCTCAATGCCTGATAATAAAAAATCCTCTACGCTGACTTTTGATAGTTTTTTTATATCAGCGGTAGGCCATGGAATATCTTTGAATTCAATCGAAGATTGTCCATTGACATCAAATTGATTCCAAAGAGCTAAATATAAGGCTCGCCTTTCATGTCTAATCTCCTGTAAGCGTGCTTGTTCATGACGGATTAACCGCTGTTGTTCCGCTTGCATCTCTGCCAATTTTCTCTGTTTTATTCTTTGTTTCTGTTTAAATTCGTCTTCTCTTTTTCTTCGATCCTTTAATTCTTGTTCATGTTGTTTTTCATACATGCCTTTGCGAATGAATGCAGCATAATCATCCTCGGACAAGTTGTCTATACCTTTTGAATCCCAAGTTCTTTCTTCATAATAAGAATTTGGATAATAATCACATTCATCTTCAGCCATCACATCGAAGAGATGTTGCCTCCATTGCTCATTGTCCATTGATGAAAATGTATTATGATCTTCATATTGATATGTAAAATTCGTTTCCTTTGCATGGCTTTGGTAGTTCTTGAAATATCTGATAGAACTATGGCTTTTGATTTCGGGTTTCTCAGATCTTTCATAAAATGGCTTGTGTCTAAATGATTTAGGCGTTTTCATCTTGCCATCTTTACATGATGAGTTGGATAGTTTATGGCGATGCATTCTAAAGTGAGCGAGTGTAGCAAAATTGGTTTGATTAACCGCTAATGGTCCATACAAGCTCTGGAAAAGTGCAATATATCTTCTGCAACAAATAGGGTTCGAGACGTCATGCTAGGATGTGTAACGGCCTATTAAAATCAAACATAGGCAGGGTCACTAATGATCATCACTAATTGCGGATTTTTTCTAGTGTTCAACACCACAATGATTTTCACCAATTAAATTGTCTAATAACTCAAAATTTTACATAGAAAACCATCTTTTGGCTTCTAATAAAAAAAACTTCTTTGAAAAATTTTACTATATACTGTTTTACTCTAACCATAGCGGCGGATTCTGTTCACACCCCAAAATTTTAGGGCATGAACTTATAATAAATTACATATTGGCATATGATTAATTATCATAGAAAATATATGTCGGAGTATTTATAATTTAAATTTTGGGGTTATATTTAATTTAGGGTGTGAACAGAATCCGCCGTGATGCCAAACCAAACTATTTGGGACGTTCCAAACTGCATGATGAATAGTATCAAACAGTTTTAGCAATAGTAATAATATGGTAAATACCTAATGTGATACTAGTTGTTACATAATTTGGGATGTTTCAAATCGTTTGGTTTACATTCCTAACTCTAACCTCTTACTCTAATCTCTAACTACTAGTATAATATTATATAGTTATTTTTAATTTTATATTATACAAAAACACTAGTGTTGAATACCAGTAATATAATTTAGTAAAACCAATAAAAATTTTATTGATTTAAATAATAATTAAAATACATAATTATTAGATAAGAGCAGTGACATTTATTACATAATATCCATTTACTATAAGAGCTACTCCCTTTCCCCCCATATAAGATCTAATATAATTGGCCAATTCAAAAAGTACCTAATTTTTCTGTATAATATAAAATACTGATATAATACATGCTCAACCCTCACCCCTAAAAAATTACATAATAAATGTTACGAATAATGCTGAAATCAGATGCTAAAATTCATATAATCACATGATGATCTCTACTATTATATAGTAAAAGTTAAAAAATATTTTTAAACTAGATTTAATGTTAAGTAAACCTACTTTCATGTACTAACAAAAGTTGTTATTCAGATTGAGACGATTCTAATAATAGTAAAATTATAAAATACAACCCACTAAATTGTTTGCAATAGTTCTTCAAAGTTTTAAAACGTTTGTTTACATTTGTTTACATGATTTGCAAGTTATAAAACAGCAATTTAAACTTTGAAGAACTATTGCAGATGATCTGGTAGATCGTTTTTGATTATTTTACTATCATTAGAATCATCTCAATCTAAAGAACAACTTTTGTTAGTATATAAAAGTAGATTTACTAAACACTAAATCTAGTTATAATATAATATTATTTTTTACTATATAGTCAAATCTCTCTAAATACATGTCATTGGGACTAGCTCTAGTATGTGCATTTAAAGAGATATTGCATTTAGGGAAATAAAAATTTATAGATATAATTTTTTTTTTTTAATTATAAAGGTGTAGCACCCGCACTTAGACTTTATTTAATACTTAAATAATTGATATATAATAGTGTCGATACATATACATATTACATCAAGTACTAAGACTAGAATATCAGGTATACAACCCATTTATCCATAGCTAAAACCCACTAGAGCCAATCATATCTCCACTAAACAGCTAACCTGGATTTATATATCCTTTCCCAACCACCAATCAATATTCACATGTCCACCACATTATCCACAAACTATTTATCTTCAACTTTCAAATTGGTGTGTACCAGGTAGGCACTTATTGTTTCTAGTTTGGTGTGCTTATTAGAGAAATTTTCTTCCTCAATCTCTACTTAGTGTACTTCCAGGAGTTCATATCTCAAGCCATGCAGCTGCCTCTACCCAAACAGATAAGTATTTCAAGCCTGTATGTTGCCATAACTAGCTGATTTTCTGCAACTTTTAGGACCCAGGTCCTAACATATCTAATTAGATCTGTGCTAATAACTGTACTTCCCAATATGATGACAAGGCTGCTCAGACATGTTTTGCAAATGCTTCCAGTGATCAGTATAGTTGGATAGCATCATAAGGCTCAGAGGTAACAGATGCATCATTATTTCTTTTTATAGTGATTCTTGGCAGTTGTAGCTTCTGGTTACTACTGCATGCATTTCCTATTTTGGTGGTCCCAAATTCTCTTAATGCCAAAGGCTCCCATACGGGTAAAACCAGAGCCTGTTAGGTCTATCAACATATATACGCCTCTATACTTCAACTTCTTATTGGCCAGTAAGTTTCATATATGCCAGAGGTGTTTCAAAGGTTAATTTTTAGTATAACTGGGCAATATAGAATTATTATAAGATTATAATATATAAACATAGTATTTGAACTAATTTAAGCAAATTTGAGATTAGTTAGGGTTAGTTAAGAGTTATAATAATATTTATAGTTAGCTCTAGAGTTAGGGTTAGAGTTTTTTTATATTATAATTTTATAATATTTCTATATTGTTCAGCTATACTAAAGAAGATCTGTTCCAAATCTGGTAAGACCAATTCTTTACCACAGGTCCCTTTGTATTTACCACATTTCTCACCACTTTCCAATTCTGGTTACCGCTTGGTCATCCTCTCAAACAAAATCCCCAATACCACCTTAGGGGTTATTAATACTACCTTGCCAATTGCAAATTTACACGCACAACCTTTGTATAATAGAACCTTCTGTATTAACCACTATTACACATAATGCTATCTACTCCACAATGGACCTCCTTTCAGAAATTTCTAATCTAGACTTGTATTCACTTGGACTTTTCAAGGCAGATACTTCCAAATATTCATAGGTAAATGTATCTACTAGAACTTGAACCCAAAACCCACTCGTGAGAGTTAGGTGCCTAGACCACTAGACCACGAGATTCCAACCTATATAGATATAATATTTTTTTTTTTTTTATTGATTAAGGAGACCTCTTTGGCCTGAAAGCTTTTATTAGGATTTGAAACGGTGTTT